GTAAATATGCTAGCAAGGAGAACTTTTTATATTTTATTTTGAGATAATGGTAACATGCAAATGAAATCTTTCTAATCAGAATTGATAGGACCCTGCAAATAAAAGTGTTAAATCAGTGTTGACATGCATAGGTACTCATAGTTAATCCCTAACTCTCATTAACGCAAGAGTAAGAGAAAATTGACTAATTACTATGTTTATTTAATTAGCAAAGAAGAAAATCATTGAATAATGTCAGACTGAATACATCCTTTACTAGGTTTGCAGAGAATTATAAAATCATATGAACATTTAGGGCTGGATGCAGTGGCTCATGCCTGTAATTCTAGCGCTCTGGAAGGGAGAGGTGGGTAGAGTGCCTGAGCTCATGGGTTCAAGACTAGCCTGAGCAAGAGCAAGACCCCTGTCTCTAAAACTAGCTGGCAGTTGCGGTGGCTACCTATAGTCCCAGCTACGTGGGAGGCTGAGGCAAGAGAATTGCTTGAACTCAAGAGTTTGAGGTTGTTGTGAGCCATGACACCATGGCACTCTACCAAGGGTGACAAAGTAAGACAGATCTCGAAAAAAAAAATATGAACATTGCATTATAAATCCTCATATGGACTGCTTGCCTTTGGATCTTAGAAATTTGGTACTTAGATACAAAACCCAAAGTTTTTTTAGTTTAATAGTGTCTGATAAGTAACAGAGTGGGCTTCTTCCCACTTTTAAGTTAATAAATTTACATTTTATGTGAGTTTGTATTTCATTGAGACTTAACCCATCAGAAAAACTTTGGTTAATAGTTTGTGACTTTGATATTTAAATTAGGCTTTCTGTTTGTTTATTCTAGGTTTATCTCATGATAAATTTCCCATTATCAAATACATTTAGGAAATATAGCTCTATTAAGGAAATGTCAAAGAGAGCAAGAATTGACAAGTGCAGCTCATCCTCATCCTAGGGTGAATTTTTTATATTTACAGTGTAAAATCAGGTAACCAGTACAGTTGTTTATCCCTGTTCACTTATATTAAAGTCTAGTCATACGTGTTTATTCCTGAAATTGATAAAAACAATGTTGATTCAATAAAATAAGTTTAAATGAGAACAAGTATGTATAGGGGTTAATTCAAGCCACGTCACCCTTTGCGGAAAGCAAAAGGGAGCCTGCTGCAACCAATACCATCTGCATTCTTTTGCTTTGTTTCCTGATGTCCCCTTTCTCTATAATGGGTCTTGCTAGCAGACTACCAGTGGTCTGGTTTTAAAAGTAAATTTGTACTTCTTTTAACATTCCTTGACTTTTGTGAATGAACTCTGCAGGCAAACCAAGCCTTACTGTTGTCTGTGGGCACTCATAGTTGACAAGTCATTTCTTACTTCTGAGATCACTAGGGAGAATAGAGAGTGATTCAGGGAGTCAGGCTGAATCATAGAGGAAGATTTCTTTCACTCATCTTACCCTCATACTGTGCATTTTTGCATCTATTTAAAAATTAACTTGTGACCCCTAGTAATAGCTTACTCTCAGTCACGCACATAGCTTCCTTTTAGGATCATTGCTACAAGCTACGTTTAGCACAGAAGTCATTTTGACTTGCTAGAGTGGACAGAGTAAAGGACTCCGAGGAGTATCAGGTTAGCTTTAATCTTCCAGTGCGGCCCAAACAGGTAAAGTAAATGTGCTTGCAACTTTGTGGGCTGTGAGGATTTTTATTTTATTTTATTTTATTTTATTTTACTTTATTATTTATTTTATTTTACTTTTTGGAGGCAAAGTCTCACTTTGTCCCCCTCAGTAGAGTGCCATGGCTTCATAGCTCACAGCAACCTCAAAATAACTCTTGGGGTCAAGTTATCCTCCTGCTTCAGCCTCTTGAGTAGTTGGGACTATAGGTGCCGGCCACAGCGCCCGTCTAATTTTTCTTTTCTTTTTTTTTAAAAGTAGAGATGGGGTCTCACTCTTGCTCAGGCTAGTCTTGGAACTCCTGAGCTCAAGGGATTCACCTGCCTTGGCCTCCCAGAGTGCTAGGATTACAAATGTGAGCCACTGCATTGGCCTAGGTTTTTTGTTTTAAAATTAAAATATAAGTTATTGAACAACGCTGTACCCAGCATGAAATGGAGAGCTTTTCTGGGGTAAGTTCAAGAAAAGTTACTTGTGAAATAGTTGGAAGGACAACTATCTACTTATATTTATATTTGGCAGGAGCTTTTGACTGTGTAGGCAAAAACAATAAATAATGTTAATCTGTAGTGATTTCCTCATATATTTACTCTGGCTTTTACATTTTATTTTATTTTTCTAACTTTGGATACAAGTCCTGAAAGTCATGATTGTGTTGACTTCATGGATGTCAGGTTAATTTTCTGGAAATACTTTGCATTATGTGTTTACTTGTTCTTTAATGACATTAAATTACCACAAACTAGCCCTTGGTGTAATTTAATTGGGATAATCAAAATCTTGAAAAATTAAAAATATATGTGTATGCTTTTACATATTTTTGTGTCTACATATGTATATAAGTATTTCCATACTACAAATAGGGAAATACGGTTTTAAAAATATACAAAATGACATAGAACTAAATAATTTATAATAAACTTTTTAATGCTATTATAATGTACATTATATTTCATATCAGAGGAATCCATGTACAGCAAGGTAACATACTATCTGAATCAAGCTTTGAACTTTTCTGCCATCGTTACACTATCTGTAAGATCGTGCCTATGTTTCCTTCCACAATTGGTGCATTGTGCATATAAAATATACTAAGGTTTTCTTAAGACATGTAATGACATTTCTCATATCTAAAGTATTAAAAGTGCAACAATAGTTTTTTAATTTGGTCTTATTTTAAATATTCTCAGCAAAAACTAAAGAAATAAAACAGAGTAAGTGTTCTTAGTATTTGTTAAATGATAGTGACTAGGTATTATCTATTATTCCACTTAGGTAAGTTTTAAGCACCATTCCATAATTAACAATACAAATTCAATTGCTTTATATAGTAAGTTTTTCCTCAATATTAAAAAACTTATTTATTTGTTCTTACAATACCTTTGAGAATTCTATCTATAGACATAGATATGACTGAGTACATTTAGGTATAAAAAATTATAAAATGACTTTCTCAATGTCCCAACATTAAAGATGAAGTTAAAACTAATAACCCTAGTTTTCTCATTTCCCAACAAATACCTTAGCTGACTGATCAGCTATATTTTAAAGGCAGTACTTCTTAAAGGCACCAACTTTCACACTGAGAAATAGTGCTTTGTTAATTTGCTTTAAAGAAAAATATGTCTTCTACCTCCTGTATTTTGTTTTTGTTTACCCTTTGGAGATATATTCAATTACTGTGAATACAGTTTTGAAGTTTCCCCCAAGGCTTTATTTGTTGTATTTTACAGTCTTTTTTCCTATAACCATGATAATTTATTAAGATATTATTAGAATATTAATATTAACTAATACAAATGTGTTGTTGGAAATTAATGCTTATAGTATATAATGCTTATAAAAGGAAATCATATTTTTACTTAATAAAGTTTAAGAGTAATAAACAAATCAGTTTGTAAGACCAAAAACTGTACTTCCAATTTCTAAATAGGTGATATTATGAGATGTCCAATATCTGAGATTTTTCTTAATGTGAAAGATACATGTGATGAAATTAAATTACCTAGTCTTTGAAAAGATTCTAAGCTTTTTCTGATTTTCAAGTCTAATATTTAGAAGTAAGTTGGGTCAACAGCAGGAATAAAAAACATAACCAACTTTCTGTTGATCAAAAGATGTTTACAATATAGCATGTTTACTGCTGCAAAACCTTTTGTGGTTGCCACTAATCACATATTTTTTACTTCAAAGTCTTTGAATGGAATATAGGTACAAATTGACTCACTCAATATTTATTACGTGTAGGAATTCAGGAAAGTTTCTGGGTTTGGAGTAATGTGTAGAAAATACTAGTAACATCTTTGTTACAGATACTGCATTTGGGCTGAATGCAGAGCATTCTGTCTCCCTATATTAGTAGCTGGCATCTTGAAATGATGTGCACCAAGGAAATGATGCTATAGGGAATGTGAATGCTAACATTTTAATTAAAATACGAAAGATAATCTGCATGGGGGTGGAGCTAAGCATTTGATGAGCCCCAATTATATTAGTAGCAACATTTATATTTGATAACTAGATAACTGGGTAATTAAAAACATGTAATTAAAGCAAACTCAAATCCTAATTTAGAAGGCAATGAAAACAAAAGAGCACAGTAAAACCCTACTAAAAAGTACTTGCTACACTGTAAAAATGAGATACAGTTCTACCAACATATCTTATAAGGCAGAGGTCAAGCCTTGCCCTATGCTTGTGTTAAAATGCTAGAAGATCAAGTGATAAAGTAAGTCCCAAATCATAGGCACAACATAAAATGAATTTATCCACCTGACCTTTGGCCAGTCCAAAGCCATTGTGAATGGACATAGGATAACAAGGTTGGAAGTTGATGAAGAATCACTGTACAAAGCTTTAAAGATTGAGGCCAGAATGCAGCTTAATAACTCAGGAACAATTCATGACACAATGTAGGTGTATTGTATTTTGGGGACCTGAATTGTCACTACATTACATACCTGAAGAAAGTGGGTAGAATTTTTTAAATGTAGTCCAATTTGAAGGCCAATAGGGAAAATAAAGTTACCATGATTCTTGAGACCCTCACGCTTATTAATAATCATTAAGAAAGAAACTGGTTCAAACAGAAGCCTTTACCTAGGAGTTCAAGAACAGATGGGAATTGTATTTGGTCTGGTGGACTTCATGGCAAGGGTCAACTAAGGCTGCTCAGCTGAGAAATGGCACGTGGCCTAACTGTATCACCCCGAGACATTTCAGTCCTCTCCTTAAAAATTAATTTTCCCTGTATTTAGGAAGCAATATGAATCCTATCATTAATACTTTCCTTCTTTGTTGCTGACAAATTTAACTCCCCAACCACCCAACAAAGCCTGAAATGTCACAGTTCCTCTCAGAGTGACACGGACCTCTTCCTTCTCCTGGTAGAATCCTCTGCATGAATGAAGTTGGAGAGAGCCTTAGTGAGGTGACTATCTGATGTCTCAATGCTGCTCCCAAAGTCATAGTTCTTCAGGCAGGGACACAGGCAGTGCACTATGGCCCGGCGGATGTAGCCGTCAAAGACATAGTAAATGAGAGGGTTGACACAGCTGTTGGCAAATGCCAAGGGTCCACTCACCTCCATGCCCAGCTGAAGAACAGGTGAGGAAAAGTAGAGTTCTTGCTGCAACCCCGAGACAATGGCCAGGAGCTTGAAAATATTAAAAGGCAGCCAGGAGATGACAAATGCTGCCACGACGATGAAGATGATCTTTATGGATTTCTTCAGCTTTTTGTTATGCTTTCCTGACTGCTGATAGTGGGTGCATAGCTTCCTTGTGATGCAACAGTAGCAGGTCACAATGCTCAGCAAGGGGACAAAAAAGGTGAAAATTAAGGCCACCAGGGCCCACATCAGTTTCACCGCAGTTGCTTTTTTCTCTGCACAGTATGGCTTATCATCAATCAGCGTGAGCTCCCTAGACAGAAGGGTGGGCAGGCCCAGGAGGCCGGACACAAACCAGATGCTGGCACAGACCCCCTGTGCGCAGTCCCTCCTTCTGAACTTTCTAGATGCGGCTGGGTGCACGATGGCCAGGTAGCGGTCCACGCTCATGCACGTGAGCAGGAACACGCTGCAGTGCATGTTGACCGAGATGACGTAGGAGCTGCCTTTGCACAGGAAGGAGCCCGTCCTCCACAGGCCGAAAGATGCTTCTTTATCCACCCAGAGGGGCAACGTGACAAGGAAAACAAAGTCGGAGGCAGCGAGGTTGATGATGAAGATGTCGATGAGCCTTCGGCTACCCTGTTTGAAGTGCAACGCGCCCATGAGCACGAGGTTCCCCAGCACTCCCATCAGGAACACAGCCGTGTAAAAGACGGGAAGGAAGACGGAGGTGTAAGGAAAGTGGGAGCGGGTCTCCTGGAGGTCAGGGTTTGGGCTTGTAGCATAGGAATAATCCAAATAAAGTGAGGCTGCTTCTGGGTCCATCACTAAAGCTCAGGTGCCAAATCTGGTAAGTTTCCTTCCCTCGGAAGCTTTTGTCTGAATTTTAGAACTCTCAAGGGAGCTTGGATACAGTGCCTGCCTCTTGCCTCTCTCCTCTCTCCTCTCTCCTCCCTCTCTCTCTCTCTTCTTCTCCCTTTAGAGATCTTGGACAAATATGAAAACAGGGGCTTAAACATGCAGTTTCTACCAATCCTCAGAAAGGGCCCCCAAGGAACCCTGCTCTGATTGGTGATGGTTGGTTGTGGTTGTGGTTTTCTTTATTTCCATTTGCCCATGAAACTGAGGTGCTTTTTGACTTCTTTCTTCAAGATATTCAATGTTTTTTTAAGTCCAGAAATAAAGAAGTAAATTGTTTTTTCTCACCTTCTTTAGAGATTTCCACTGCTTTTCTGACACTGAGATTCTGTTTGATCTGGCTTCTGTTTCATATATGACAGACTGTGTTACTTTTAGACTTGTGAGGCGATGATGATGAAATACTCTTTTCATTTGCTTCATTGGTGAAATATGAAGAAATAAGTTTCTCCTTGCGTAACTAGTGAATTGAAATTTTTTTCAGATCTAGCCACTCACATCCAGGGCAAGCAGCATGATTCCAATTAGGGCATGAAATTCTTGTCATTTGTCTGGCTCTTTCATTTCATACATAACTGAGCCTGTCTCCTTCAGTAAGTTTTAAAAAATCCCCGAAAGGCTAGGACTGTGTCTGGAGCTTTTATTATTATTATCATTTTAAATTTTCTACTACAACTAGCACAGCATCATGTATGTAGTTGATGCCTTGGAAATGTTAGTTTATTAGGTTTGTTTAGAAAATAGTGGAAATGAATTCAGTAGGGTCCAACTGCAAGCACTGTTGTTAGGAATCTTACAAACAGAGATTTAAAAAATCACACACTGCTGTTTTTACCCTCTTATCTACTAGTAATTCAACCCATGAAGCTCCTTGTTGTTAGAGTTAGGGGTAGGAGATTTTCTGCCTACAAATCCTTATACAATCATACTTCTTCAGACTTGGGAGGCCCTCTGATCTTCTCTTCATTATTTGGTACCTTTGTAGCAGTGACATATTAGCATTTGAACTTGGCTTGTTGCTAAATACCTACATACATCAGTGAACTTACTTTGGGAGTTAGTGACCAGGCAGCAAACACACCAGCATAGGCACTCCAATAGGAAGATTTGGGTATATTCAAAGCACTTGGGAAACAGGCTAAAACAGAAAGACTTCCCTCCCATTTTTTCCTCATACGTTTCCTTCTATATTATGAAGACTGTAGAAAAATGTAGCAAGTTTTGAAACTGATTCCATTTATTTCAGTTCTTTACTGGCCAGGCTCTCTGTTTTTCTCTTCTTGCTTCTTTCTCATTTAATTTTCAAAATTCCAGTTTCAGGTTGATATTACTATTATGTAGAAAAATGTGTGGCTATAGATGAAAATACAGTTGTTAAACATTTGAAGCCCTTCCGGCTGAACTTTCATCTCTTCAGTAATGAGTACATTGAACAGAAGGATCTTACTTGTGCTCGCTCCTTCTCTCTCCCTCCTGGTGTGCTCTAAGGTCATGTCAGTCTCTGGTCCAGGTCAGAGAAGGATGGACACTCCCTTGACCTGGGACAGTCCCAGGAAGTCATTCAGGACTTGGTTTCTAGGCCTGGACCTGTCCTCTTCTGTGTCCCTGACTGCTCAGCACTAGTCATTTAACTTCACAGGGGGCATATCCTTCACTAAATATAGATTGCAGATCAGAGAAACTAATTAACAGCTTTGACATTTCTGGGACAGAAATCATTCCCTCTGGGTAAGCCTTATTATTTAATAGAATGATTCATTTTGTCAAATAATTTGAAGTAGGACAATATTTACTTGAAAAGGATTAAATGGAGTATTTAAACACATCATCTATATGTGTATATACTGTATGTATGTGAATGTGTGTTAAGGTACTAATCATATGTGTCCTTTATTTGTAATTGTACTTTAATTTTAATATTAGAATTTTCTGCTCTGCAATCAGAAGTTCTTTTGGCACTTGAGAAAATAAGGTTGATTCTAGGTTTTAAGTTTTTTTTTTCTTTTTTGTGAGACAGAGTCTCACTTTGTTGCTCTTGGTAGAGTGCCGTGGTGTCACAGCAACCTGAAACTCTTGGGCTCAAGCGATCCTCTTGCCTCAGCCTTCCAAGTAGCTGGGACGTTATAGGTGCTGGCCACAATGTCTGGTTGGTCTCAACTCCTGAGCTCAGGCAATCCACTAACCCCAGTCTCCCAGATTCTAGGGTTACAGGTGTGAGCCACCGCACTCTGCCTAAATTTTTTTCTTAATTTTTAGATATGTCCCAAGAACTCAACATACAACTATTATAAAATGGAAATGAGTTCATGCTCATACTCTAAATATAAACATTTGGTAGTACTTTAATTCTGTAGACCTTAAATTTTCTCTGAAGTATCAAAAGTTGTAAACAATCTCAAATAAATCTGATTTCCTTAGCAAACTACTGAAGCATCTATAGACAAAATAGTTTCCTTTATCATATGTGTATATGGCCATTTTGAAATGTTGTATTAATGATAGAATGCTACAATATGAAACTATCCAGCATGAATCAACAGTATCTAGGGACCCAAATTAGAAAAAATGTTAAATGTTTTAAGCCATAAAAGGAACACATAGCATAATCCAAGGCTTTTAATATCTCAGGGTACAATGCTGGTATAAGACAGAACCCACAATAAAGTTAGGTAGATAAAGTAGAGAAGGTCATAGTTCTAAATAAGCTGGGTGCAACGGTCATTTTTAGGACTTTGAAAGCTCTTTGAAGTAAACATGAAGATACTGACAATAAAATAATCACCTGCACGTAGATCAAAACTCAAAAGCAAGAGTGGGTTCCATCAGCAACACTGGGTTCCATAAGTATATGAAAAGGCAGTAAGAACAGGGCGATGACCAAAGAAGAATAAGATGTGAATGTCAGTAGCTGAAGTACTGCGTACCAGCGTAGCTGCTGCCTCTTAAGAATTGTTCCACAAACCACTCAACTCTCTTCCCCAACAGAAATAACTGCTTCTTCCTTGGTATTCCCTAAGAACTTTAGAAATCCTGCTTGTAAAGTACTTACTATCTCATTTCACATGGTTAGTTGCCTTAGTATCTGACCCCTTGAGCTCATAATCTGCAGCTTAAAGGCAGAGTCCATCTCTTATCTCTCCACTAGCTTCTGTCATCTAGGAGTTACCCAACTGAAGTTCTTTTTGGACTCCTAAAGCCCTTTGAACCTGTCGTTACCAGACCAAATTGCCCACATTTTAGAGTCGCCTTGTGACATCTGCTGAACTGTAGATTTCTAAACCCTGCCCTAAATCTACTAAATCATAATTATTAAAGATGAAGCCTGGAACCCTATGTTTAACAAGAAGCCAAAGTGATTTTTATACAAGCTAAAGTTTAGAATTATGTCCTAATTTACATAAGTTAACCAATATTCTATGTTATGCTTTGTTATTATTTTGCTTCTATCTTTTAGAAAGTTTAAGAATTACCTCAAAATTTGAACTTTGTAGAAGTCTTTAAGCCTGGATCTCACAAAATTTTAAGAATTCATTTAGATTTCTGAGCCCTACTTATTCTATGCTCCAATTCCTGAGATCTGTTCAGAAGCAGATCAGATATTGAAGATGAAGAGAGGGTAAGGTTTTGTCCACTGAAATCTGCCTCAGTGAATCCGTTATTACGGCTTCTGCTTCATAGGTAGGCTAAAGATTCAGTAAGAACATAGCCACCCCTGTTACATTGTGGTCTCTGGATTTATGATTATATTACTTTGGCTTCTTCCCTATCAACCACCGTATCAGGTGGAGATTCCTACACATGCATGTAACCCAGTGGAAAGAAGTCCCTGGATGTGAAACTTTCTGTTCATAATGCTCTGCTGATATGTGCCAGAATAAGTAGCAAAGAGCACAAAGCCACATGATTATTTCTCATTTATCTTATCAGTCAGTATAATTATTCATTTTTACATACATTCTCTTGCCCATTTTGTACTTGAATATCATAGAGTTCATAATCTTTAAGTAGTCCAGTCTTAGAAAACTGTTTATACTTTAGTCATTATTCTCACAGTTAGTGGGAGAATTTAGCACTATATAATGCAGTATCAGGTCATGTCAAATTAAGTGGCATGTACTTGCTGTTATCAGCCCCCTTTGATTCATTGGATTATTGCTCTTAAAACCTAATATCTATATAGAGAGCAATGATGTCACTACTCTAGGAATATTACTTTAGGCTTTTTCATGATAATAGATTTAATCTGGATTTAGGTCATTCATGGCAAAAATTATGTTTATTTATGTTGATGTCTCTGGCATCCAGCAGTTGCTACAACAAATGTTTATAGACCTGGGCTTCATCATGCTTGAATTTTGAGTTATTTCCAATGAGTAAGGACTTTTTACAAATTTTTTGGACAGCTTTTCTATTCAATCTGTGATATGATGTGATGAAGACCCAATGAGATCTTTATCATATCACAAACTGATATGAAGAGATATTTATAAGTTAGCACAACATTTCTTTTTTGGTTAAGTTATACCAGTGATTTGCAACCAGCATGCTGTGGCTTGTTAGCCTCTATGGTCTAAAACCATGAGACTTTAGAGCTTTATAATTTTTTACCAATTATATTGGTAAAAAAAGGACCCTGGGACCCCAAAAGGGGTCATTTACCAAAGACCTGCTGGTGATTGTAAAATAAATTAAACTTCTCATCTACATATGGTCCATTCACTATCCTTCAAAGTGTGGATATTGTAACAATTATAATTTGTTGCTGTATGTGGCAGTTTATAGGAATTACTAAAAGAAAGGAACTATTTTGGATACACTTTTCTATTCGCCTTGCCCTGGATTTAGAGTAAATGGGTGCAAGGAAATTCAAAGATCAGTATCTTTTTAAAAGGATTGTTCTTGGTTGGAACCTGGAGCTTGTACATATTACCTCT